CTGTGGCAATCAAGAAGTGACTTCCTTTTCTATGAAAGTTTGTAAAACTTCCACTGAGTAATCTAGAACAATGTTAAGGGGCTGGGTTCGCATGCAACTCTATTGGAGAACGTGGGAAGGGGAACAGACTCCATCCCAAAGTGTCAGGAGATTGATGTGAACGAGAAGGGCTTGGCCAGTCATCAAAGTGGAGAAAGAAAATCAAAGTTGCCCAGGCCATCAGCGGAAGCTCTTGCAAAGATTAGCTGGGCTTAGCGGAATCCAGCATATGGCTCTCTTGGCAAACTTTTGGCCTCAGAGAATGAGGGGACCTCAAGCAAGATCTTTTATCAGGACAGCAAACTCCTCCCCTTTGGCTCCCTTGTCTTCCCAGACAACATAGCTTCTAGTGGAATCTGGCTTCTAGAGACTCGGCCCACAGGGGGCAGGTGCAGCCTTCCAGCCTGGCTGACTCATCACTTCTCGTGATTACAAGATGGCAGTCTGCTACCCAGACCAACCTGTGAGTCTACAAAGGGATGTCTGGAGGCAAAGATCCAAAGCATCCGTCAGCTGAGCTGCTAACTCTGGGAAAGAAAGACCACCAGGAATTGCCAAAGGCCGGTGGTCACCAGGCAAATCCATGCTCTGGCAGAAAACACAGCAGCCCCTTCAGCTTGCCCTGCGCTGCCTGCAGAGCCAAGCTGGAAGGTCCACTGTTGAAACACACCACTTGGACAGCCTCCCATAACCATCACGGATCTGCCCCACTCTGGGTGAGTGACGGTGACCCCGGCCACTGGCGAGACAAGATGACAAGATGACAGCTCTGACACTGGTGTTTCAACATGATGTTTCAGTGGCTGTTATTCATACAGTGCCTACGTGTTAATGATTCTAATCGTCGTTCCAATGTCAACTCAGCAAACGGCAGACCTGTCCCCAGTCTGGTTGTCACAGCTCACCAGTACTCTGGTGCAGCAAGAAACACAGGCCTACCAATGGGTGCTGAGTGCTGTCTCACTGAAGATATTCCCCCAGGATAAGCCAAGCCAGTCCACTCCGCAATGACAGCCTCGCTGCCCCGGGGAGGGCTCCCCTTCACACCGTAAGCAGCATAGAGTTTCGGGGAAAGCCTACTGTGGAGTCACTTTTGCCCAGATGAACTCATTGCACCACTAAAAGATGACTGGGAACTAGAAGGCAAGGCAGGGAAGGCAGGTGCAGGCTTCAACCACTGCTTAAACGAAGGACCCGGATTTTACTTTAGCCTTCAAAACCATACTGTGACCACAACAATGATAACTACGTGAGGTAATATAGATACCCATATGGGTAAAAGCTCGAGTTTTGGCTGTTCCACTTCTGATCTAGCTCCCTGCTTATGGCCTAGGAAGGCAGCAGAGCATGGCTGAAGTGCTTGGGTCACTGCACCTACATCTGAGACCTGAAGGAGGCTCCTGGCTCCTGGCTTTCCATCGGCTCAGCTCCGGCCATTGTGACTATTCGGAGAGTGAGCCAGCAGAGAGATCTCTCTTTGTCTCTCCTTCTCTCTGTAACTCTGACTTGTAAATAAAAGTAATCTTTTAAAAAATTGAAGCCATCCCCACTGCCCCCCCCCCGAGAAGCAGGTGGCAAATGTCTAGTAGGACGGCAGGCTTGCTGCAATCCCTCGGCCAGAGGGACAGGAGGCCCCGTGGAGGTCACAGTCTCACACACACCAGGACACGGCCAGCCTTTGTCAGCGTTGTGGTGATGGGGGAGAAGGTGCCACAGGCACACTGGGTATCCCCCCAGAAAGGTGTGGCAGCTCTCCACTGCCAGAATGCAGACCTGCTATGCCCCACTCTGAGCCCACCAGAGCAATCGCCAAGTGTGCACGTCACGTCCCATCAGCTGGCACAGTGGCCATCCAGGAGACAGCACTCAATACATGCCAAGGGAGTGACTGGAGGGGGGCGGGGGGCTGAACCCCCAGGTTTATGGAACTATATCATGAAGTAAATACATACACAAAATTGTTATTTATTTTTAAAGAAGAAAACATAATTTTCAAGCAGAAAAACCAGAAAAAAAAATATGAGAAATAACATGAAGCCGTTCTGTGCTGGCCTGACTCATCAATTACAAGTTGTGTGTGTGTGTCAGCTGCGCTGAAGTCCTTGACGCAGCTGCAGTCCCAGAGACCCTCACTAGGGGGCCATACTGGGTTAGCTTCAGCAAGGGGAGCCTGGCCTCCTTCCTTCGCAGTCCGCTCTGCAGCCTGCCCACCTTCGTGGGAACACTGGCTGCGTAGGGCCTTATTTGTCAAATGTCTGGGACCAAAAGTGCCCTTGATTTTGAAAAATTTGCACAAACTTTACCTACTGAGTATCCATAATAAAAAAAAGTTAGATTTGGAGCACGCGGGGCTTCGGATTTTCAGATTAGGGATGTTCAACTGACGGTGTTTCTAAAGACAGGAGTACCTATAAAGACCGGGGCATTTGCCAACTACTAGACATGGTACTAAAGAATCCACGTGCATCATCTCAGTTAGTCTTATTATCTGTTCACCAGGGTAGGATAGTTACCTTCACTTCTATTGATGAGACTATTTGACCTCAAAGATACTCAGTTACTAAGCCTCACTTACACAACATCCAGCAAAGACTAGATTCAAATCCAAGTCTGACGCCACGGCCACGTCCACACTCCGCAAAGGGCCGCCGGACCTCATACCTGGGCCTTCTCATTTCAACTGGCTACTGCCTTTTCTGCAGTGACTGATTTTCTGACAAGGGACAATAAACCCATATTCTAGTCTTCAGTAAAAATGCTGCAGAAGATTTTGCTTCATAGAAAATGACTTTATTGAATAAGAAGCTCTTCTTTCCTGTGTGAATGTCTCCTACCTAAGATATGTGTGCTGAGTACTGGAAAGTACAGTTGCCAAACTCAGAGTAACATTTGTTTCTGTGCTACTGCCTCCCAAACTACAACATACAAACAGATCACTTGGGAATCTTGTTAAAACACACACTGATGGACCAAGTCTGGGATGTGGCCCAGCCAGCTCCCAGTCAACGTTTATGTTGCTGGCTCATGGATCACACTTTCAGTATCAAGAATCTGGAAAATATTTGGGAGCAAAAATTGAGATTCTTTGGAATCCAAACTCAGATTCTCAGAGAGAATAACAGGTGTAGAACTGAGCACCCTTCATACAAACAACAACAAAAAGGAAAGCTGTCAAGAATCCTAAGAAGCGAGGCCTGCCACTTCACACCAATGGAAAAGTTTGCGGGGTACAATCTTGGTAGGTGTCCAACACTGATGCGCTTCTTAAAGATCCATTTGCCCAAGCAATGCACACATCATTCAAAGGTACTTCAGCAGCCTTCACAGCCCATCCACCAATATTACAGCTATCCAGGCCACCCAGCCTTGGTGATGTGACAGCACTGGGCCCAGCACGATCCAGTAACAGCTCCCAGGCACATGAAGAGGGCCTGGGCATGCTTAGGCGGGCAGAAGTCATCCCAGCTCTGAATAAAGAGCCCCGAGGTGCATAACAGGATGCACAGGACCGAATCGCTGTCCCCCTCATGCCATAAAGAGCTTTGGAGTTCTCAACATTTCTTGTTACACTAGTGGCAGAGAAACGGCACAGCTGGAGTAGGCACACAAAGATGGACTGGCACCTTTTAAACACAGCATTGTCAACTGGGTGCCCACCAAGGAAATACAAATGGGAAGCAAAGGGTACTTCTACAGGTTCATGGGCTTGGTGCAGTAGCCTAGTGGCTAAAATCCTCGTCTTGAATGTGCCAGGATCCCATATGGGTGCTGGTTCTAATCCCGGCAGCCCCGCTTCCCATCCAGCTCCCTGCCTGTGGCCCGGGAAAGTAGTTGAGGAAGGCCCAAAACCTTGGGACCCTGCACACATGTGGGAGACCAAAAGACGTTCCTGGCTCCTGGCTTCAGACTGGTACAGCACTGGCCATTGCAGCTGCCTTGGGAAGTGAATGAATGGATGGAAGACCTTCCTCTTTGTCTCTCCTCCTCTCTTTATATCTGACTTTCCAATAAAAAATAAAATAAATCTCTTTTTTAAAGTTCATGGAAATCATACTGAAAAAGAAGTTTATTTTGGTGAAAAAAAATTTTAATTCAAAATTTTTTACAAATTTATTTATTTAAATAAGCATTTTCTACAGGACCTTCTTCTAAATTTTTATTGGAAAGTCAAATTTACAAAGAAAGAGAGGAAGATCTTCTGTGCACTGGCTCACTCCGCAAGTGGCTGCAAAGGCAGGAGCTGAGCCAATCTGAAGCCAGGAGCCTCCTCCGGGTCTCCCACACGGGTGCAGGGTCCCAAGGCTTTGGGCCGTCCTCGACTGCTTTCCCAGACCACAAGCAGGGAGCTGGATGGGAAGCGGGGCTGCTGGGATCCAAACTGGTAACCATATGGGATCCTGGTGCTTGCAAGGCAAGGATTTAGCCACGAGGCTACTTGCACCAGGCCTTATAATTTTGTTTTTGAAAATTCATTTACCATGAACTTTTTGAAGGCCCTACACACACAGTTATATGAGTAGGTACACATGCATGTGCATATATAGTGAGAAATTGGCCTCACAATGCATTTTCTAGCCTTGTCCACATGACTGACTATGTCACCAGCCCCAAGGACCAAGCTATGGAGGATACAGGCAGTTCCCTCAGAATCCTCACAGTTTATCTGAGCTCTCCAAGAGGCCATGTTCTCAGTAGAGGCTCTCACATGCATTTTGTTCTTGATACACATGACAGTCCCAGAGAAGGGATCACTGTGACAAGCAGCAAAGTGGTCCTACACTGGACGTGTGGAGGATGCAGGGGAGCCAAGGGCTTGGAACTGCGGCCACAGAACATTTGAGTCAGTATCATGCAGCATTACCTGCAATTTGCTCCATGCTCATCCCGAGTCCCACCCACCGTGGAAGCCACAATTGTGACTGTGTGGCAGGGGTACCAAAATCAAAGCCATGGAGACTTACATTCCCCTCCTTGTCGAAGTCCGGTGGAAGTAGCTTTACAAAGTTATCTGGGAACACTCCTCTTCTGCCGTTGAGCTCTCCTTCCCACCAGCCTACATCGATGCAGTCCTAGGAACCAGAAGAGCAAGTCAGAAATGGGGGCAACCTCCAGTGAGGGCTGTCACCCCTTCCCCGGAGCATGGCGGCCACTCCCCCAAGCTGGTGTTGACTTAATAGCGGTTACTGAACAAGCACAAAGTCAGAAAGGACACGGAGAGCTGCAGCAGGTCAGAGCTGCCGACAGGAACGCGAAGCCATGCCCACCACACACTCAACACTCAGGCACACCAGTGGGAGCTACAGTCTAGTCAGAGCGACCCCCAATAACCCCCATGAGGCTTGCCCTAAGCCCTGGTTCCTGTGCTTGCCAGTATGTGCAGCAGACTGGGCCAGTCTAGGCCACATCCCATTCAGCTCTCTTATATATCAATGGGCGTTGGAACTTAGTTCAACCCAACCAACCCCACCATTCAGGCCACACTCATGCCAGCAGGTGCCACTGCCTGTCTAGCCAGGCCCACCCCAGTCCTGGTTCTCATGCTCACCAGTGGGAGTTGAAACCCATCAGAGAGGTGCCCACAGCCGCCCTACTAGGCCCACTTCAGTCCTGGATCTTGCATTCTCCAGGTGGCTCTACAGCCTAGCTTCACAGAATTTGCCCCCGTACCAGCATCCGCCAGCTGGTGCTGCAGCCCAACCAGCCTGCTCTTCCTCTGGTCTACGCACACAGTGGCTACAGTTGATTGCCCAGTCTGGCTCTCTCCTAACCCAGCTCACATGCAGGCCAACAGGCATTGTAGCTCTGCCTGGCCTGCTCTGCTCTCCATCCCAGCTCTCATGTTCACCAGTGGGAACAGTGACTCAGCAGGGGAGTCCCTGCTAGCCTCACACATCTTGCACCCCGCCCCTCATGTCTCATGTGTGCTGGTGGGTGTTGTGGCAGAGTCTGGCATGGCACACCTCTCTTTGGCAGGTGCAGTTGCCTGGCCTGGTGTGCGCCAGTTCCAGTTTGTGCTGGTGGTGCTACTGCCTAACCCAGCCCAGCCTGGACTGCCCCCAGTCCTGGCCCTAGTGTGAACTGGCTGATGTTGAGGCCCAACCCAGCCTGTTCTGCACCACGTCCTGGTTCTCACACCTGCCAGTGGGTGTTATGAACTGGCCCAGCCTGGCCCACCCACAGACCTCACCCACACAAATGCCAGTGGACACTGTAACCTGGCCAGGTCTGGGCTGCTCCCAGTCTTGGTTCCTACACTCACTTGCAGGGATTGTGTCTGACAGAGTTCTCCAAGCTCCTCTGTCAGCTCTCCTCCCAGTGGCAGTTCTCGCACACACTGGAGGGTCCTTGGCCCAGACTGGCTTAGTCTCCCTCCTGTCTGGGCAGGAATAGCCTGAACCACCCCACACCCATTCTGGTTCTTACTGTTGGGTACTACAGATCAGCCATACCTGGTCCATATCCAGATGGAGCTCTCACAAGGTTCAGCAGTACCAAGACCTAGTCCAGCCCATTCTTTACCCTCCCTGGCTCTCACAAGCATCAGTGGGTGCTGCAGTCTAGCCCAGCCTGGCACACTCCAGTCCAGTCCACACCCATGCTGAAGGACACTGCAGTCATGTCCACCCCAAATCGCCGCCCTCATCCCAGATCTAGCACTCCCACAACCCAGCCGGGATGTCCTCTAAGCTCCCAACCAGATCCATTTCCAGTCACAGATCTGGCACATGCCAGTGGTTGCTCTGACCCAGCTCGACATAGTCCATCTTCCGTCCTGGCCTCTGCCATCAGATGCTGCAGCCTGACCTATCCCTGCCCACCCCTAGTCCCACTGGTGGGTGCTGCAGCCCAGCCAGGCTCAGTTTGCTCCCATCCCTGGCTCATGCAAACTGGGAAGGGTTAAATAGCCTAGCCTGGTATGACCCACACTCTAGCCTGACTCCTGCACACACCAGTGAGCTAAGGTTGGCCTGACCCTGCCTGGTTAGCCTCCCTGAAGAATCAACCCACACATTTGCTGATGGGTGGGACTACCTTGCCGGCCTGACCAACTCCCAGGCCTGAGCTACATGCTCACCAGCAGGAGCTGTGGCCCACCAGGGGAGTTAGCCAATTTCCCTCACCAGGACACACCCAGACCCAGATCTGACCTTTGCTGGCAGGTGCCAGCCCTTAGACGGCACTGTATGTCCCCTCCATCCAGACTCTTGTATGAGCTGGTGGATGCTGTGGCCTGGCCTGCCCCACATTCTATTCTTGGGTATGCCTATGGGTGCTGCAGTCTGTACCAGCCTGGCCTACTGCCAACCCCAGTACCCAAGAGTGTTGGAGGGTTCCATGGTCATGCCTAGCTCAGCCTGTCACCACTCCCAGCTCTTATGCTAACCAACAGAAATTGCAGTTCCACTGGAGTGGACCCACATATCCCCCACAGAATCTGCCCCCAGACCTGGTTCTCTTGTGTGCTGGTTAGTCCCATGGCCTAGCCTAATGTGACTCATGCCCTGGTTCAACACTCACTGGTGGGTACTGTGATCTAGCCCTGTCAGATGAGCTCCCCAGTCTCAGCTTCTGTGTGCACTGGTGGGTGGTGGTGGGCGATGTTCAATGCTAACCAGCCCAACTCAGGCACGTACATCACTTTGACGCAAAAAGATCCTCCAGCTTCTGCTCCTCCAAACCGCTCAGTCATAGCCCCTTGCTCACCTGCAAGTACAGTGGCCTTGTTGGTGGAAATCCCCCCAAAATCATCCTTCACCTGTAACAAATGTATTCCCTCCACAATCCTCTCTCTCTCTCACATCCCCATTCCCCCTTCCCTGAGCAGGCCACAGACCCCGTGCCTGGGAGCACGTGGGTTCCCCAGCCTGGTCATCCCAAGCCCAGCCTTCTGGTGGGGTGGCATGCTGGCCTGCAGCTCTGCCTGCCCACCCTCGGAGACCAAGGTTCCCAGACCCTGTCCTCTGCACACGTGCAGGTCTGGGACCTTCCTCTCTACTTGCCTGGGACACAAGTGCGTGTCCGAGACCCTAGGTACGGCCCACGGGCACCATGCTAGCTGGGGCCTTTCTCTCTCCTCTCCCATCCTGTCCTTGGGAATGAAGCCCGTGCACAGTCTCAGGCCCACTCATCCCGTTCTTTCCCTCGATGCAGCGTCCTCATCTTCCGAGCCTAACTTCAAATGCACCTTTAGATAAAGGCGAGTCTTGTGAATGCTTTATCTTTCTCTAACACTCAATATCATGTTGGCACTTCATGATATTCCATTCCACAAAAATCTACCCGAAGCCAAATGCAAGCTCAGTTCTGTAAGCACCAGACCAACAGAACACATGGTCCCTGACTCCAGCGAGCTGAGAGAGGCACAGGAAAGCAGAGACAATATTCTACTAAGTCCTTCCGGATAACAGCACTCTGCCACAAGAGGAACGATCCATTAACAGCTTTTGAAATAATGTTGAATCTGTTCAAGTATGCAGGATTTGCATACAGAGACTGGGCTTTCCTCCACATTCACTCAGATCATGGGAGACATAACTACATCTGCAAAAGACATACAAATGTGTTTAGTGCTGTGTTTCAAACTTTCCAAATGGTGCAAATCCAAGTTTTTCCTTAACCTTAAACACACACACATACATGAGAGAAAGTTAGTTCAAGAATCTTTTTGCTGGGCCCGGTATGGTAGCCTAGCAGCTACAGTCTTTGCCTTGAATGCACCGGGATCACATATGGGGGCCAGTTCTAATCCCAGAGGCTCTGCTTCCCACCCAGCTCCCTGCCTGTGGCCTGGGGAAGCAGCTGAGAACAGCCCAAAGCCTTGGGACCCTGTACCCGCATGGGAGACCCAGAAGAGGCTCCTGGCTCCTGGGTTTGGACTGGCGCAGCACCACATTGTGGCTACTTGGGGAGTGAACCAATGGACAGAAGATCTTCCTCTCTGTCTCTCCTCCTCTCTGTATATCTGACTTTGCAATAAAAATAAATAATTCTTTAAAAAAGAATATTTTTGCTTTATTTGTGAGAAAACAAAATTAGAAAAATTCTAATAAGCAAAAGCCTATCCAGAATAATGCGAGAACTTAAGCACGTGTGCAGGGGAAAAGAGCGTACAATGCTCCCCGACCCCTCCCACCTGCCCACGGGGAGAGCTGCGGGCTCCTGCGGCCCCTGCAGGAAAGCACCAGCGGGGCTAATCACCGTGTAAGTGGAAGCAGGAAGGGAAAGCACGCAGAGAACACGCCTAACTGTTCCGATCAGCATAACAACACAGACAGTGCGGGCCCTGGACCCGATCCACGCTGCCAACGCTGAGAACTGCCAGTGCGGCTGAGCCTAATGAGAGAGTGGGAGCGCCTGCTGCAGGCCAAAAAGCGGGCACAGGGTCAGGGGGCCTGCAGTGGCATGGGGCTTGCTCAGAACCAAGGCTCCCACCTCCCCCCCCCCCCCCCCCGCAAGCAACATTAGATAACTGAAGGGAAACAGGACTAATTCTGACAGTAAAATGCAAAGTGAAAATAAGTCTTTTCAGCAAAGCAGACAAAAGAGCCAGGCTTCTGACGGCAGTGATGGGAGGAATTATTTGTATAAGGGCTGTGCTTGCAGAAGTGTAAAATAACAGCAAATTCAATTCATTCACTGAGGATCTAAAATGCACACGCTAGGAGAGCAATCCAGGGGAAGAAGCAAAACACCATGTTATCATGGGAGCCGTAGGCTTGGGCCCAGGGGGAGAAGCAGAGGCAGTAACTCCACCTGGTAAAGGAACCCAGCAGGAGGGCCAGGTTCGGCTGAAAGCAACTGGAACCAAGCAAAGCTGGACAGCCTGGAAGGAACAATCGAGAAAGGTGGAAGAGCTGGATGAGCAAGTGTGAATGGAGAGAAGACAGGTGTGCAAAGGTATAGAAAAAGAACACTCAAACATTGAGGCCTAGGGGTAGGCCTCTGGCCTAGCAGCTATGATGATGCCCAGGACCCCAGCATCTCACATCAGCATGTCAGCATTTCAGTCCTGCTTGTACTTGCACTTTCAGCTCTCTGCTAATGAATGGCCTGGGAAGAAGCAGGTGAT